AATTCCTGAGAGAAGGACGGGGATGTGCGAAGTTGGGGATGGGGAAGGGGAGAGGCAATGCTGGGAGGGACCTCCTCCTCCTCCACCACGTTAAACGCGATGCTGCTGTTTGTTAAAGAGCCCGCGATGCTCATTAGGTCGCCATTTAACGACATCTTCACGTGTGGAAAACTCTCCAACGGGGGGTCCACTACAAAGGCGATGCTGCTATTCGCCGAGCGTCGTGTAGACGCACAGGAAAAGGGGCGCGGAGGGGCTTTGGTCTTCGGCATCACCGAAGGAATCGAATCCTCCCCGCAGAAGCTGAGCAATTCCACACTCCCCGGCGGTGCTTTTGCGGCCCCTTTCTCACCAGGCCCTGGATGATTCGTAAAGGTGTTTATCTCCTTTGAAAAAGACTCCTGTGCGGGGGGCTTTGCGGACGCCGTTGAATTCCCGTCTTGGGAGAGATTCGTGCGGAGTTGGGGCTTTGTATGGGTGACGAATGAGGAAGTCTGCACGGAACCATTCCGATTTGGATGGTTGAGTTGGGGGGAAATCGAGCCCATATCCTCCTCCTCGTAAAAAAAAACTGATTCGCAATCGCTTTGCATTTGCGGTTGTTAAATACTTCGGAAGATTCGTATAGGGTGGTACCGTAACTTATGGTAAATAATAATAAAAAATAGCAAAATAATAATAATAATATTCTAACCCTTTAATCTACGAGACTGAACTGTAGCAATAAGAAGTGAGAACGCAATGTCATGCACTGCAGAGAAATAAACAGAATGAGATAATTTACCTAAAGAAAGATAAAAAGCACTTTTTAAAGAAAGATCCCTAATATCCACAATTGCACTGTCTTATGAAAAAGCGAAGTATTAAAAGGCGCAGAGAAGACGTAAATGTTTTTGTCAAAATGCAAATAAAATGCACTGGCAAAAAAAACTGGAAACTTGATGCGAACAAACAGTTTAAAGGAAAGGTGGGATGCTGGAGCATTCAATCCGCATAAATAGCCCATTCCACACTCACACATATACACTCTGGTTCATAACAAATAATAATAACAACGATCATTTCCATCCTACCAGCGTCCAGAGCACTGTAGGCACGCCACCCTGGCCGCCGACAGGCGCTGATAAAGCTCCGAAATCGATAAAACACCAAAAGGCTGAAAACTTTCAAAGGCAGGTATCCATGCCATCCCACTCAAAGTCATTTACCAAGACAATATCCACCACCTCAATAGAACACAATAAGGAAGAAATAATAATTTAATCCCCGCCATTGTGCATCGCCCACATTATCTCCCTTCTTCTTTTGTCAAAATCCATCCGGTTAAGGCCTTCTTCACATCATCCCGTACAACAGCCCGTCGCCAGCCATAAACGCACACCTAAATGAATACCCCCTGGTGTATTACACCCACAAACGTTGTAATTATATCAAACAAATAGAACGTCTTCCGCGCACTATTAACTAAAAAAGGGTCCGATCCAAGCTCGATTATCTCACGTCTTCAGTTCCCCTGAGCCCTTATCGTAAACGCCCTTCATGAAAGGTCACCCCAGCGACCCCTGTTTCGAAATAAACCTACCGCAGCCACAGAATTCAACTTTTGGCGAATCCTTGCAGTTCCCTTTTTCCTCAAAATTAGGCCATATAATGAAGATAATAATTTTGCTGAGGATGTCCTTTACGCTGAAGTTGATCACAAGCGCTATACTATGGCATATCGATCAATCCTGTCACCAATAGCCTTTGATACACTCTATAAAAAAAAGGTAAAAAATATATATATCATTAAAAAAAAAGAGAAGTGAAGGATAAAGTAAACAAATGCAGCAACATAAAACAATTCTTATTAATAATAAAATTGGAATAGTTGAGTTGGATTTATCCACATTAAAAGTAAACTGTAAAGATTCTTAAGAAAAAAATAACGGTATTATTCTTATTTTTATATACATTAAATTTGC